GTCTGCCTGAGGCCCAGGCCTCCCACCCCCCAGGGGCTGAGGCTGGAGCACAGCTGTCCTGCTGGGCGGCCCCTGGGACCTCTGTGGGCGGGTGGGGATGGGGACCTGGCAGGAGGGCGGGGACCTGTGGGGGAGAACCCCCTGGGGAGGCGGGGACCTGTGGGGGGTGCTGGCCATGTGAGAGGTGGAAGCTGGGCCCAGCCCGTGAGTTCCCGCTGGAGCCTGACCCCTGGCCTCGCGCCCGAGCCCGTGTGAAACCTTCTGTTGCTCAAGATTTTATTTCACAACCAAACGTGGGGAGGGAGTGCCTCTGCCCACCTCTCCTCTGCACGCAGCCCGCTGGGCCCATCACAGAGCTGGGGGTGCGGGGGGTCAGGAGGGGCGGCTCCGCTTGGGCAACTCCCGCCTGGACGCTGGCGCTGCTGGGCCGGTGGGGGAAGCTGGCACTGAATGTTTTGATGGGCATGGTGCCCAGCCTCTCAGGAGGTTTGGGGGAGTCGCCTACACGGTTTGGGGGAGTCGTCCATGCACCTGCTGTGCCAGGGGCTCTGGGTACCTGCCCGCAGCCTGGGGAGGGGTGCAGCTCATTTAAATGTCGATCTGCTGTAGGTTCAGACGAGAGGCGAGGGGTCCATTAAGCTCCTCAGTGGTTCAGGGGGCAGGCGACTGGCCCCCCTCCTTCCTGGGACCTGGGATGGGCTGGGGACAGTGTCTGTGGTGACTGCAGCTGGGAGGACACGGCTGCCATTGCCCGCAGGTAGAGGCAGGGGTGCGGCTGGACACCCTACAGCATGGGGTGCCCCCCCACGAGGGACATGCCCGAGGAGCCCTGGGCCCTCACCTGTCCCCAGACCCACCTCTGTGCATGTGCAGGGGGCGCAGTGTGTGTGCAGGGGATGCAGTGCACGTGCAGGGGGCGCAGTGTGTGTGCAGGGGGTGCAGTGTGTGTGCAGGGGGTGCAGTGCGTGTGCAGGGGGCGCAGTGCACGTGCAGGGGGCACAGTGCATGTGCAGGGGGTGCAGTGTGTGTGCAGGGGATGCAGTGCGTGTGCAGGGGGTGCAGTGTGTGTGCAGGGGGCCTGTGTTTACAGAACAGGATGAGGTCACACTGGCGCACACCCTCCCCCACAATGTGTGGGGAGTGGGCCCCATCCTGGAAGCGGCTCTGCACAGGCCTCGGCCAGACATCCCTCCAGCGGCCGAGGCTGTGGCCACC